GCATCAGTATGGCTCTTGGTTGATCACACTTAATATCTTGAACATCCATAGCCCTACAGAAATGAGACCAGACATCTTTGGTAATTTGTCCATCCGAGAACACAAGATTGATACTTTCAGAGTTACTGCAACATTGACATTTGGAGGCTAACTGGATGCCAAATTTATTCTGGATGATTTCCTCAACTGATAACCAATTATGCCAAAGTCTCCATCCTAAAAAAGTAATTTTTGAGGAATACTCTTATCCTAAATATGTTTATACACCATTTGTCTGGTCTTACTTTGCCTGAAGGGATTAATACAAGAAGAGATGGTGAAGTCCCCAGATGGATTGGGTTTCCAGAAAATTTTATCAGGATAATTGGTAACCGGGATTTTCAGAATTTCACTCACAACATCAACAAGTAGAATGTTATTCAGTGTGGTAGTATCCCATTCATTGTTTTTTCTGAACTCCTTAACAAACTTGTCTTGAGATATATCATGTTTCAGCCTCCCTTGAATAACACCAGATTTAAGCCAGGCATCATGCTTAAAATTAACTTTGCCTTCTCCAATTCTCCAAGCAATTTGAGGTTCAACTAAGTTTCTGGCATTGACCATTCTTCTCCAAATGCCTGAATCTTGGGTACTGTGGTTGACAACACTAGCATGCCTGATCCTGCAATATTTAGCTTGCAACACCTGGCTCCAAAGAGATTTTTGTTCCTAAACTTCCACCATAATTTGCAGTCATAGGCAAAATTCAAGTCAGAAAGGGAGGTGCAACCAATACCCCCTTCTTCAACAGGATAGCAAATGTTTTCCCAATTAGTCCAATGAATTTTCTTACTATGGCTAGATTCCTCCCAGATGAACCCATTAAACATTCTGGAAATTTTGTTGATGATGCATTTAGGCGGGTCAAGGATTTGTAATAAGTGTATTGGCATAGAGTTCAACACATACTTAATAAGAACAAGCCTGCCACCTACTGACAACCATCTATGCTCCCATCCAAGAAGTCTTCTTTTAATTTTGTTGATCAATTCTTCAAACAAAGCAGCCTTCTTATGCCCTTTATAAAGGGGTACTCCAAGGTAAAGCAGAGGCTAGTATTGAAGCCAGTATTGTCTGCAATCACTTTTCTGTGGGTTTCCTTTTTCGTGGTAAATGAACTCTTATTACAGTTGATAGCCTATCCAGAGTTAGCAATATAGAGCTTGATGAACCTCATGATTTTATTCAAAGAAGGTTTTTGACCGTTGGTAAAAATTACAATGTCGTCTGCAAATGCTAAATGGGAAACTGGGATAACACCACCATATATGAAGTGCAAGTCGTCATTTCTAGAGAAAATGTTATCCAACCCCCTAGACAAACACTCAGCCAAGATGATGAATAATGAGGGTGAAATGGGGTCTCATTGTCTCAGCCCTCTAATGGATTTAAAATAGCCCTTTAGCTCTCCATTAATCAAAATTGAAAAGCTGCAGTTATTAATACTCTTCTTGATTTTGTCAATCCATTGTTGGTTAAAACCAAACTTCTCCATCATCTTATAGAGGAACTCCCAATAGACCATATCATACGCCTTAGCCATGTCTAATTTTAGGACCACATTACCTCCTCTAGTCTTCCTGTCAATGTTCTGAATAAGCTCCTGGGCTAGAAGAATGTTATCCCCAATATCTCTCCCTGGAGTGAAGCCACTTTGGGATGTGGAAATAATATTTGGCAGAACTTTGTTGAGTCTAGATGAGAGAACCTTAGTAAGGATTTTATTGACCACATTACACAGACTAATGGGTATAAAGTCTTTCCACTCCACAGCCTCAACTTTTTTAGGTATAAGAGTAATAGTGGTGGAGGTAACTCCCGTAGGAATTACCCTTCCCTTAAAGAAATCCAGTACAGCATCTAAAAGGTCATGTTTGATAATTTCCCAGCTATGTTGGTAGAAGAGACTAGAGAATCCATTCTGACCAGCAACACTGTCTTTGTTAATACTGTAAACAGCCTACTTTATTTCCTCAATATCAGGTGGCTTGTTAAGTAGGTCATTTTTAGATTGAGATACCAACTGTGGGATGCTATCCAGCAATCTGTCACAGCCTTCAGTAGGTTCTTTGGTGAAAATCTTTTCAAAGTATTCCACAGCAGATATTTGTATATCCCTGGGCTCCTTCATTTCAACTCCATTATTGGATATCAAATTAATACTACTTTTAGCCCATTTCTTTCTGACACAAGCATGAAAAAACTTAGAGTTCTTATGTCCTTCATTAAGCCATTTGATCCCAGCCTTTTGTTTCCAAAATGCTTCTTCCTTAGAAAGCAATCAGTTGAGCTTTGCATAAGCCTCATTTACTTCCATTCTGTCATTGGGAAATTTGGATCTGTCATACACAATTTCTTTATTTAGAGTCTCTTCTTCAGCCGTAGCAATATCAACAAAGATATTACCAAAAATGTCTTTATTCCACTTTTTAAGAGTGGACTTGAGTCTTTTTAGTTTGAAATAGAAACCAAATAAGCCTCTAGAGTAAGGATAAAGTGAAGCTTTCCAGCATCTTTTAACAGTATCTAGCAAACTGTCATTTTGACACCACATTGCTTGGAATCTGAATGAGGTCTTCATACAGATTTGTTGAGCATTACACTTCATTGAAAAAGGACAATGGTCTGATGTGTCCATGTTTAGCATATCAGCCTCGAAGCCATTATATTCATTTAACCATTGAGCATTAACCAGAATTCTGTCTAATTTCTCCCAGATCCTGCCATTAGTCCAAGTATAAGTACTTCCTCTAATAATATGCTCATCCACACCACAATTAATCAACATATTACTGAAGTCCTCCATAGACCTTCTATTAGGAGAGTTACCTCCATCCTTTTCCCCTCTATTTAATATGGAATTAAAATCTCCTCCAATAAGCCAGGGAGAATCCAAATTCTGAGAGAACAGAGTAAGGTTATTCCATAGATTTCTCCTAAGTAGGACAAAGCATTTAGCATACACAGCAGTGATATAATTCTCTTTGTTTTGCCTTTTGACCTTGAGGGTAAGATGTTGTTCCTTGTCTTCAATAACATGGCCTTCAATCTCCTCTTTCCACAATCCCCAAATTTTACCATTTGAGTTAGCATAGCAATTATCGAATCCCAATTTTTTGCAATATTCTTGCACTTGAGCTTTCTCTACAATAGGTCTTAAAATGAGTAAAATAGAAATGTGATGAATTTGAATCAGATTTCTGAGTCTCTTCATAGAATTGTAAATTCCTCTTATATTCCAAATTAATACATTGAACTGCATAGTTAATGTTTGGATGGTCTCCCCCTTCTCTTCTTATTGCTTTTGAGTTTCTTATGATTTTCCTTCAGGTCATTTCCATCTGTGGCCCTATGGACCTCAACTGAACATGTCTCATCCTCCACTTCTTCATGTCCCTCCTATCTTTGAAATATTTCAAATGACTCTTGCTTTTTCAACTTACTGCAATTGGGGTCATAAGTAACCTTTGTTGACATTCACTTCATCTATATCAATGAAGTTCTGGGCTAAATTGCATTTATTTTTCTGACTATTAACCTCCTCCAGTAAGAACTCTTTTATAATTCCCACACCAATTAGTTCCACTCCTTCACAATTTTGTAAACAATCAAAATATCCTGATTTTATGTGTATATTCTGATTCTCATTGTCTATAATGGGTTCACTTTCAGATTTGTTATCTTCTTCACTTACTTCCTCAACATTTTCCTTCTGAATAGCATATTTACACTACAGATCCTCATTGACAATTTCTCCTTCTTCTCAGTTATTGAGTTTGGAACTTTCTCCTTTCAAAAACTCAGTTTGTATAGGTAATTTCCCCCCTTTTTGTATGGCTATCCATTCATCCTTCCCCTTGTCCTTCTTTTTTGCTTCTCTGGGAACAAATTCATGTTGTTTATCTTTAACTTTGGTCCCTGTTATTTTCTTCCAATAACATTTCCCAATTTCATGTCCCACAAGTTTACAGAAGGAACAATGTAAAGGTTGTTCTTCATATATGATCTTCTGCCAAACTGCAAACGTCTCATTTCCAATTCTAATTCTTTCCAATTTCGGGGCATTAACATCAAGAGAGAGAGAGAAAAAGAGAGAGAGAGAGAGAGAGAGAGAGAGAGAGAGAGAGAGAGAGAGAGAGATGGTGGTTGTTGGAGTTAGGGATTAGATGGGAGTGGATTGACTTATTAGTAATATATTTATTTAATACAATATTAAATTAATAATTTGTAATTAACACCTGAAATCTGAATTTTAAACTTAACTCCATTGTTTATGAAAATTAATCTTTAATTGTAGGGTTCTGTATATTTTTTTCCTTATTGCGTGAATGTGTGGTTGAAAATGAGTATATAGAAAAAAAAATGTTTTTGGATAATGATTGTTAGACAGGGGCTTAATTATGTCTTCTTAATTCCAAGATTATTCATATGAATTAGATATAACAAATTGGTACCTCAAGAATTTGAACAATCAATTAAAGTTCATTACTCGCTGAGGACTAGCACAACTCTTTCTATGCAAAGTGATATTCCCTCCATCCCGTAAAGATGGTCATGTTTTCCTTGTTCATCTATCCCAATTTATAGTCTCATTTCTTATTTGAGAGTGTAGTTAATATATTAGTTTACTAGTATGCCCATATTTAATGTGTTTTGTTATCACAAATATAATTTAATTACTTTGAATATTGATTGCATTAATGTAGAGGAATATTTGAAAAAATGATAGTAAAATTTATTATTTTAACTATATTAACTAAAATTTTCTAATCTGTGTGAAAGATGAAATATGACTATCTTTATGGGACGGAATGAGTACTAATTAGAAACAAATTTCTTTATTTACTAATCAAAAAAAAAAAAAGATGGCGTGATAACTTGTGCCTTTTCATACTTGACGACTGAAGTGTACAACTTATAATAACATACTACAAAATAACATTCTCAAGATACATATTCTAATAGGCAGTTCCGTTGTTATACCTTATTTTTATCATAGCTTTTCCTCCTGTGCTAGAATCGACTCTCCCATTGGAGAGAGGATACTTCTTCTTCCAACACTTACCGTCTCTATAAATCGCAACAGCACAGAAACAATCATCTAGGCAAACCTGTCGACACCAATCTTCTGTGACTAGCTGAAAATACGCATAATCGGAGAGAGGCCAATCTGTGTTGGGCATGTCAGTGAATCTAAAAAATTCTGTTCCATGTGCCTCTTTATCACAACTTTGTGCAACGAAATTTGGTTTGCATCCACTCATTCTATCATTTGGATCTATGACAGAGTAACCAAAAGGGCAGTCACACTTTGGAATTTGATCAGTTCCCAACGAGCAGATACTGTTAAAGCCACAGGCACCGCTGCCTGTACTTTGTGTTATGCGCGTGCATATATTCGAAGGTATGAAATTTATAGTAGACCACGATCTTGCACCTGCTGAATTGGAAGACTTAGGGTAGACATAATGCTTGAGAACCCCGTCATATTCCAATATTGCTCTCTGGTAAAATTTACTGGTCAAGGCCTTATTTGAAGACAAATAAATTAAATAATAGAGTACAGTTCCATTTTTTGCTACCAGAAAGATGTAACCAACCCGGTTGAAGATCAGCTTGAAGCCACTGCCTATAGTTTGTGTTGACCAATAAGCAAAAATCTGCAGAAGGTACCCCTTTAAAGACCTGTAAGACACAAGATTCCCATCATATTGCAATGTGAAGAGGAATCTCCCTCTTGAAAAATTTGTTTTGGAGAAGCTGGAAACAAGTTTGCCATCTTTATTCAGTGTCTGTGTTGGTAATAATGTGTCGGTTGGTTCATCAAAACTCTGCCACAATACAACTGAACTGTTGTTAACTAACACAAAATTACCAGTGTCAAGCATGGCTCCATAAGCCACTCGATCATGAGAAATGGTAGTAGTCCATATCCGATGGCCACTAGGATCACTCAATTCAAACCTTCCATCTGCATATAGTTGAACTTTTGATCCTTCTTGGACAAGATTATCACGATTGGCAGACCAAACAATAGTTCTTTCAGGTATTCTGTTGAACCAGATGGCCAGCAAGTAACCTCCAGGAATGATCTGCTGGAAGCCAAAAGCAAATTCTCCAGAAGGTGACACCCAAGTGGAATTTTCTTTGTTTGCAGTTATTGATGAACCCAAAGTAACATTCCCGTAACGCTGGGCTGTGGCTGAGAGTAGAAACAAAAACAACAGCAGGAAAAAAATAATTTTACTTGAAACTGCAAAGGCCATGTGAAAAGTGGATTATGCTCGAAAGAATTAGAACACTACTTTTGTAGAAATTGTTTTTATCATTGGAAGTAAGTTGCCTATATCATAAACGAACTAAACAAGACTAAATATTCAATAATGTAAGATAAAACTATATAATATGTTTTTCTTTCACTGATGTTTCAGAAAGAGCCTTCTTTGGGCCTTTTATACTATTCTCAAACTATATAAATTAAGGAAAAGGACAACGATTTGGGAGAGTAAATAGATGTCGGTTGAATCAGTAAATTCTTTCTATATCAAGAATTTTCTTCTTCTTACATGCAAACCATTTGACTTTAGATTTTTTCCCTTTATAGTTAATTCTTATTGTGACTCGTTATAAAGAAGTTGAATTTATGTGCCTGTACAAAAGTAATGCTGCCAGAATTTCACAGCTAGTTGATCTTTATTTTTATTTTTATTTTTATTTTTTATTTTCATTTTTCAATAGAAAACTGTTAAATGTATTATGTGAAAATTCTGACAGCATTTTTCTGTACACATATCAGGCTGAACGAAGTTCCATCGTTGCAGTTGGATGTCATTAACAAAATAATAGCACATGGCTTGTCTTGGACTTTTCAAAGGGAACCTTCCTTAGTCATTAAATTTATGGAAAGGATAATGGTTTTAAAAGGGCAGGTTAACTCCGTGTTTAACATTCTTTGTAGCAATAGTCAATTTAGACATAGAATACAACTTATCTTTCGTAATAGTTTTAAAAAATCATTTCTCCCCTTTCCCACCGCACCATCATCGACACTTGTTAAAAATTTGTTTAAAAAAATATATTTTGAAGTTGTAATTTTTTGAAAAATGTGTGGTTAAAAATTTTAAAAAAATTGAAATTTATGTGTTATATTATTATATTGGAGAATGGTGAATGTATAAATGAAAATAAGTATACTTTTTAGAGAAGTCCAAACGGGCTTAATGATGAGTCTGGTGCACAAAACCTCCAACCCATAACCCCACCTACCTAGACGTGTAAGACGGTTGAACAGTTAGCTCACGGCACAGGCAGCAACATTTGACACTGGACTTTATTTTTCAGCTTTTTAAGTTAATTTATAAAATATCAAAAAGTTCGAAGATCCCAAGCAAGCTGTACTGGTAAAAAAATCGTTGCATTAGCATAATTATATTTCCAAACAGGGGCGGAGCCAGGAATGTTTCGTACGGGGGCAAAAATTTTTAAAATTGAATGAACGAATAAAATTTATATATAACTAGAAAAATTGTAATATAACGTTACATATTACAATTGTACCCGACGATATTTTATAGCATAAAATTCATTTATAATAGAATCTAGAACTAAATTAATACTAAATTCTCGTTCAATGTTTAGTGTTAAACAATCAGTAAGAAAATCCTCATCCATTCTGTTTAGTGGTTCCACATTAAGATTAGAAGATGAAGATCGTTCAACTTCAGGGGATGAAATTGGATTTAGAGTGGATGTCGTAGGAATTGGAGTACCCTGATGTTTGTTACTTTTTGAAAGGAAAGATAACAAAGTTCTTTCTTTCTTGGAAGAATGTCGATCTTCCTCCATATTAAACCTAAATTCCAAAACTAAAATTTTACATGCTAATAAAATCGAAAAGAATTTTGACTTAATAAAACCATAAAATATAGAAAGAATAGATGCATATGCAAGGGTTTGGCTCCTTATTCCTAAAATGATAATGTCATGCATACTATATACTTGCTAACAGTTTTTTGGCACTCATTTCCCAAATATAACGATCATGTCTCACTATAGGAGCTCTCCAAATTATGTAGATCAATTAACATACTAATGTTTAGAACTCTCTCTGTATGAAATCTGATTCAAAATAAATTTAGAAATATTTATTTTACCCAACTTTTGTCCAAAATACGTGATTTTTCATATTATAATAAACAACTTTTAATTAAACATATTATACAATATTTCGTCATGTACCAACCCTGATTAATAGACTATGCTATCACGCTAATACAATTTCCTACACTTATTCACGCGTTAAGCATTTCACTTTCTACCTTAATTTCTTATTCACCCAAAATTGGTTTGAGAAACTATAATAATCTATTTGAGGATTAGAACACATTCAATCTTCAAACTCCCATAATTGACAAATGGGCCCCGCTTAACCAATTGGTCAAAGTTGGTCAAAACAAACATTTTGAACCAATTTCTAACAATCACCCATATAAATGAAAATCAATACAAAATCTTTGCGAACACCAAAGAAAATCCGAGCGAAAAACTATTGTATCAAGAGATGTAGCGTTTGGCTTTGAACATGCCTTAGTAGAATACTAACGGATTAACTTGGTTAATCAATAAACGCGATATCTTGGAATGTTGAGTCGTTAGTTTAAGCTTAGACAATAGTACCCACACATTATTCGTGTAACACTTTCGATTCTCACGATTGTATTCATTTTGTTGTAAACAACTCTTGAATTTCAAAAGTGCTGTAAAGAATTCAAGTCTTAAAACATTTTCATAGAAGTGACATCACCTTACATTTACATATGTGATCTCCTATTGTACATGTCATACCCAACTTGGTTTATTCAAGCTATAGGAATAAATAAAATTTAACTTACCCTAAAACATCCTATAAGTAGCACTTTTCTTATCGTATGCGTAGGAATTAACTTCTAACTGCGCAATGAATCATAATAACCTAGTTGTTTTATTAAACCAAGATCTTGTGATCTCCAGTTACAAAGATTGGGATCTCATTACAAAGATCACTAAACCATTTTGAGATCAACTGATTTACGGTATTATGTCTTTTATGTATTTGTCAAGACTCACCATAATACAACAAGTTTTATCTTATTAAATGTAACTAGATATCAAATTCATTAATATAATCGACACACTGTTGTTAATTAGGGAATTCTATAGTCAAAGTATCCACAAGGATACAGTTCAACATTTTGTGCAAATATTCAAATAATTAGGAGCGGGCATGGTCTGGTATGATTCGGTTCTGAAGGAAATCGAACCGAGTACCCGTGGTAATCTTAGAAATGGAACAATTGGTTCCATATTCAATATAGAACCAAAACCGAACCAACCAGTTCCGATTCGGTCTGATCTTATTCTTTATATTGAAAAAAAAATTATAAAAATAAAGTATAAAACTACTTATCAAAATGAAAATAGACAAAAATAGAGTATGAACGATTTGTCATCTTGTAATCCAACAATATAAAAAATATATTGAATAAAGCAACAAACAAAAATTCACTCGAAAACTCAAGATCACCTTTTAAAGGCTGAAAAAATGATAAACTATTAAACAAAGCTTGATTATAACAATAGCCTGATTATTTTAGTGATTCTTAAGAATTGTGATTCTTGATGGCCGACTACTTTGAAAATAACAATAAATTTGAATTCTTATGAAATATTGAACTAAAAATATATTTTTCATATTGTGTTGCATTAAAACCATGAATTTGTAAAATATTTATAAAGTTATTTAGACTTAAATTTTGATTGCTCATTAAAGGAAGGAAGGAGAAGAACATGAGAAATGGAATTTTAACATGAGACAATTTTGGGGTTTAGTATTTAAAAATGTAGTGCATCTTGGTTTCAATAAAAAGAAAAATTTAGGAGAACCGAATTCATTGTTGGTTCTCAAGGTAGTACCGAGAATCAAACCGAAACCGATCTATTCTCAATGTATGGTGCGATCCATTTAGTAGAGAAACCGGAGTCAAACCAACTGGTTCTATATGGTTCAGTTCCATCGGTTCAGGGAAAAAATGTCCACCCCTACCAAAAATTTATAAAATTATTTAGACTTAAATTTTGATTGCTCATTAAAGGAAGGAAGGAGAAGCACATGGGAAATGGAATTTGAACATGAGACAATTTTGGGGTTTAGTATTTAAAAATGTAGTGCATATTGGTTTCAGTAAAAAGAAAAATTCAGGAGAACCGAATTCATTGTTGGTTCTCAAGGCAGTACCGAGAACCGGACCGAAACCGATCTATTCTCAATGTATGGTGCGATCCATTTAGTAGAGAAACCGGAGTCGAACCAACTGGTTCTATATGGTTCAGTTCCATCGGTTCAGGGAAAAAATGTCCACCCCTACCAAAAATCATACAATAAAAGATTTTCATTTCTCGTTTTAACTACTTTTGGTTTAGGGTCCATCACATTTGTGTAACATTCTCGTGATTCTAAAATTGGTAAAATGTATTTCTACATTTTAAATCTATATGGAAAAAAATTTCTATGTCATACAAGGTAATCAAGTAAGAATGTACCTATAGACAATGCTATTCCCAAACTCCTGAGTTGGGAATGTAATGTGCAAGTGTAATGCTATCCCTCACAAATCTAGAGACTCAAATTTGGAGTTCAATTACTCTTTTAAAATTTGATTATAAGATTGATTATCTATCAGCACGTAAGATACAATATCCTCATTTTATTTCTCATCAAACTACTAGTCACCTCAAATGCGTTGAGTAGTGCCTATGTCAATTCACCGTTCTCTCGGGTTATCCACCATTTTTGCTTCAAACATCACCATCAAATATATTGGATTTGACATCCCATAAGACAATGTCTACTTCAACTTGAGTGTCCTTTTGCAAGATGCTAACTAAAGAATATTTATACTTTGACCTGAGTGTCCCACTCCGCTCCAGAAAATTTTGTGGTCATTAATTTTTTATGGCAGCCATGTGAAGATCAACATTTTGTTTTGAAAATCTTTCTTATGAGACAACAATTTTTCAATAGGGATATATCTAATAGTGTTCATCAGAAAACCAAATGAGATATCCCTCTTTACAACACGCCCATATGATAAATGCCTTATGCAATTCTTTTTCTTTTTTCCTCAACCAATGATGAACACAATTGCTGCCACCATTGGACCTAACAACTGGGTTTTCGATTAACACCTACCCATCTATCGGTGAATAAGAAGACACCCTTCAGCTAGAA